GGGGGCGGGGAGGGGGAGGGGCCCGATTCTCTGCGGGAGACCGAGAGCATTTGATCGCCTTCACACATTTGAATGTGGATGAAGACATTTACAAATATAGACAAAAGGTGATAACTTCTGAAGAGGGCCCGCGGGCGGGGCGTGGGTGGGCGCCTCACCTTCGGCCTTCACGGAAGCTGATGAGCATCAGCCTCAGCACGGACTCTACAAAATTAGAACGTAATTCTCATTTCAAGTTCAAGTGCAGAATTTTCTCCATCTGTTAAACTCATAATCCTGTGCAGGAAAACAGTCAAACAGAAATAAAGCGTTCAAGAAAAAGCACACGTCACCGCTGCCTGCCACCCCAGCTGCATTCCTCGGGCTAGGCACTAACGATCCATCTGAGCCGCGCTCCTGAGGTTCTCCCTGGTTTTTAGGCATTTTGCAGACATTGGCAATCCTGCCGTTGCCTCATCACTGTTACAAACCGGGGATGCTGGCGCACACCTGTAATCCCTGCACGCTGGGAGGCTGGGGCAGGAGGATCACAAGTTCAAGCCCAGCCTGGGCAACTCAGTGAGACTCTGTCTCAAAAAAAAGGCGCGGGGCGGGGGGCCTCTGAGATGTAGCTCAGGGCGAAGGCCATAAATTCAATCTGCGGTGCTGAAAAGAAAGGTGTTACAGTAGCATTTCATAATTGTTGAGTCCTAAGGAAATGGTGAAGGTAAATGGGATGCACTTTTCCCGCAGAGAAAGCCCCCTGGAGGGATGAGTGTCTGTGCACCCGCTAAGAAGGTGTCCTTAAGTCGAGTCAGGGGAAGAGGAAAAGCCAGTGAGGCCGTGGTCATTAGGTGGAATTAGTTGGGAAGATTTGGATCCAGGCACGAGAGCAGGCGGTCACAGGTCAGCAACCTCCTCACCTCGGACACACCCAAGGGAGCCGCCAGGGGCAGTGTGGACTTGGGTGGCCCCTGGGTGCAGACGCAGGGATCCTCAAGGCTGAGCTCTTTCTGCCTCCCGTGTCAGCCTTGTGCTCTGTAAGATGCTTGTTGTTGGAAGCGAGGAGCTTGGTTTAGAGCTCGAGGGCTCACCTGGGGCCCAGCTCCACGGAGATATAAACGCGCGCATGTGTGTGTGGGTGTGTATGTGTGCACGCGTGCATGTGCGTCTGCTCAGCCCTGTCCTCCTTAGCAGGGAGTGCGCATGCGCACAGCCTTCAGGCCCTGACCTTGCAGATGAAGGAGCCCCTTATCAGTTACCGAACACTTTCTCCAAGTGGGACAGTAAGGGACATTTCTTTCTTTTTAAGCATCCACTGTGTTTAGGGTAGTGGGGAAGAAACGACGATTAAGAATCAATCCTGTCCTCAAGGAAGCTACAGCCTGAGAGGAGAACACACAAACACACACATGCGTGTGTACACACACGCCAGTGGTTCTTTGTAATGCTTTCGCGGTGTCACTGTGCACGCTGTCATTGTCGTGGCATACTGCACTGTAACAGTGCTGTGCACCGGTGTGAAGTGAGGGCTCTGGGCACTGAGGAGGACTTAGCAGGAGAGGCTTCCTGGGGGTGATGCCTGAGTGTAGTCCCAGAGATCGAGAAAGACCTACTAAGGGCAGGGGGGGAGGCCCAGGCAGCAGGTCTCAAAATAGTTAGGGATTGAGTCATACAAGGTTGTGTCTGCCACACTAAGGAGTTTAAACTCTATTTGGTTTCAGGCCATGAAAAGTCATTAGAAGGGGTGCACACCTATAATTCTAGCACACAGGAGGCTGAGGCAGGAGGGTGGCTGTGAGTTCAGGGCCAACCTGGGCTATAGAGTAAGTTTACTATCTTAAAAAACCAAAACCAAAACCAAAAAAGTCATGAGAAGGTTTGAAGTGGAATCTGACATCAGATTTATAGTTTAGGTATTGTGTTGGTTTTCTTTTGTTGCCTTAACAAGTTATTACAAATATAAAGATTTTTTTTCCCTGGCACTAGGGATTGGACCCAGGGTCTCATGAGTGCCAGGTTTGTGCTCTGCACTGTCCTAACCCCAACCCTACAAGTGATTACAAATACAAAGACAACACAAATGTATCATCTCACTCTCTGTCATTCAGAAATCCAGCTTGGCTCAACTGGACGCTTTGACCCAGGGTTCCCGAGGTGAAATCACAGCATCAGTGGCTGGACCCCAGTGGGAGGCTCCGGGAAGGATGTGCTGCTTCTGGTGGTGGCAGAACCAGCGCCTTGCAGTCTGGCCGGTGCCCCACTTCCCTGCTGCGGGGAGCAAGAGGCCACTCGAAGCTCGGCTCCCAGAGCCTCGGTCCTGGCTTCGTGCACAGCCTCTGGGCTCAGGTGGCCATGCAAGTGGGGCCTCGGATGTCGCCTGCCTGTGGCTCCCTCTTCCAGCTATGAAGCTCTGCTTTAAAGCCTTCTGCTGACATTCCATCACCTTCATTGCAGGAGGACAGGGACAGGCACCAGGGACTGGGGGTGCACTTCCTGGAGTGGTGGTGATCTCACCTCAGCATGCAGGCGGCCTCGACCAGAGGGCTCGGGTGGTGTGAGGCGGAGGCCTCTAATCCCTGTGAAAAAAGAACACTGAAGGAGTACAGGGGTCCCCTACCCTGTGTCTGATTTTTTAAAAGACAGTTTTGTGGGCCGGGGATTTAGCTCAGTGGTTCCAACACCTGCCTCGAAAGCGAAAGGACCCGAGTTCGATCCCCAGTACCAATAAATAAATAAATAAAAGACAGTTTTGTTAAGGTATAATTAATATGCACCCATTTTACATGTACAATTCGATGATTTTTGTTTTTACTAAATTTATGAAGTTGTGCGACCGACCAGTCTGGTTTAGGGTTTTCCATCACGCCTTGAAGCTGTCCCATCCTAGCTGCAGTCGGTGCATTCCCCTCTCTCTCCCACTCCTCACACCAGGTGGGATGGAACCAAGGCTGGAGGGTGCTAGGCAGGTGCCGCACCACCGAGCTTCAGCCCAGGCCTAGGTTGGCTTCCCTTTAATGCTGCTGTTGCTCAGGACCTTCTTTGCTGCTCTGGGAAATACTCACATTTAGGATATTCTTTTTTGTTGTTGTTTGTTTTTTTGTTTCTTACAGGGTTTCTTGAGATGCATGCAGTGCAGTTCAGGCTGGACTTGAACTCAATATGTAGCCCAGGTGAACTCAGCAATCCTCCTGCCTCAGCCTCTTGAGTACTGGGATCACAGGTGTGTGCCACCAACCCGGGTGAGGATGTTTCTTAGTCTGCTCAGGCTGCTATAACACAATACTATAGGTGGCTAAACAGACGTTGATTTCTCATGGTTTCGAAGATCAGAGTGTCACAATTGTCACGTTTTCTCTCTCTCTCTCTCCCTCCCCAGAGTCTCACTATGTCATCCAGGCTGGCCTTGAACTTGTGGTGATCCTCCTGCCTCAGCCTCCCAAATGCTGGGATTACAGGCGTGTGCCCCCAGGCCTGACTGGTGACCTGAAGACAGATGCATTCTTGCTGTACCCTCCCTTGTGGTGGGGGTTGGGGACAGGAGAGAGGTGGAGAGAGAAAATGCACTCTGGTGTGTTTTCAGCAGGGCACGAACCCAACAGGGCCCCACCTCCATGACCTCATGTAACCTTCGTCACCCCACGGGCCATCTCCTAACCTTACGTGGAGGCTTCAGACTTCACCACGTTCATCCTGGGGACACAACGTCCAGGCCACAAACCAGGTGTGCAGAAGAGACACCAGTCTGGCCTGGCTACATCAGGAGGGCGACTTGAGGGAGCCCCGACCCTCCCAACTCAGCCCCTAGTGGGACGACAAGCTCATGCCACTGTGTCCTGCTTGTATGATCCTGAAATAATTTTTTTTTTGAGACAGGTCCTCGTCATGCAGTTTAAATTGGCCTTGAACTCACTGTGTAGCCCAGGTTGGCCTTGAATTTGCAGCAGGCCTCCAGCCTCAGCCTCCTAAGTGCTGGGATTATAGGAGTGCACCATCATACCTGGCCTAAAATAAAATTCTTTTTTTTTTTTTTGGTACCAGAGATTGAACTTGGGACTTTGCGCTTGCGCGGCAGGTGCCAGAACCGCTGAGCTAAATCCCCAGTCCTAAAATAAAATTCTTAATGAGGTAAACATTTTAAGAAGTCATTCTTGGGCTGGGGATATAGTTCCGTGGTGCTGCTGCCTACCTCGAAAGAGCAAGGTCCCGAGTTCGATCCCCAGTACCAAGACTAGCCATCCTTTGGTATGCTGTGGCTAAACAATAAAAAACAGAAGCACCCTCTGGCATTTGTGGAAGACCCCTGACCCTGACAGGTGCGGTGCCCCCCCCCCAAGGGGTGGGTCAGGGACATTTGCCTGAGTGCTGCTCCTGGCCAGGGCTGGTCTGGCAGAGGCACTGCTTTCTTAGTCTTTGGAACAGAGACTTCAAGAGAAAACCAGGTCTAGGAATGCTGGCCAGACCAATCTGAAACTGCTGAGTTGTGGCTGTGAAATACTAGCAAAGCTCCAGGCTATATTTAGGCCTAGGAACAGTCAGAGGCTTTTTTTTTTTTTTTTAATTTAAGCTTTAAAAAAAAATTCTGCAGAAGGGAGATAGAAAATCGTATCAGCTGTCTCAAAAACAAAAAGCTGTACTAGCTTTTTACAGTTTGAAGGAACAAACAGAAATTTTAAACAGGAAGTCTCATAAGTCTTTTTTTTCATTTTCTAGTTCATGGTGGCTTGTTTTTTTAAATTTTTATTTATTTATTTATTTATTTATTTATTTTTTTCATGGTGGCTTGTTTTGTTTTGTTTGTTTTGGGTTTTTGAGACAGGGTCTCACTTTGTAACTCAGGCTGGCCTGGAACTCGCAGCAGTCCTCCTGCCTCAGCCTTACAAGTGCTGGGATGGCAGGAGTGTGCCACCACACCTGGCCCTGTGGTTTTATTTTAGAGAACATGTTGCCTTTAACAGGCTAGAACTATTGGTGTCTAGGTTTGTGTATTCTACTCTCCACTCGAGAAAACAAAGTTATCTGTCTTCATCCATTCTGTCAATGAGATAAGCCAGATCACTGGTTGCTTCAAGAGAACCATTTAGAATCAAAACCCAAGAATGCACAGTGTTGCCTCCATTCTGTGCCCTCTGCTTGGTGTGCCAGGCCCCATGCAGATTTTGTCAGTAGCCATCAATCTGAAGAATTACCCTGTTTCACTGTAAATTGGTTTCCACTGAAATGATGACAAGTAAAATTAACGAAGTATCATTAAACTCCTACACCAGCCAGCATGATTTCTCATAATTCTTAAAATACATTTCATAAATTTATTGTACTGGTGATTGGACCCAGGCCCTCACATGTGCTAGGAAAGTGCTTGACCACTGAGCTAAATCCCCGGCCCTCTTCAACTTTATTTTGAAGCTGGGGGTGTAGCTCAGTGGTCCCACACTCGCCTAGCATGTGCGAAGTTCTGGGTTCAATCCCCAGCACTGTGGTGAAAAAAAGGGGAAGAAATATTTTATTCTGAGATAGTACATATCTCAGTACGAGTCTGAGCTGGCTTTGAACTTGCAATCCTTTTGCCTCCGTTTCTCGAGTAGCTGGGATTACAGAATGTTGTACCTCACCCAGCTATTTCACAGTCCTTGGCGAACAAGATGCTCACCATTGCTACCAACCTTACAGAAGTAACAAAGATTAGAAAGGAATATGATGAACAACTGTATGCCAATAAATTAATTTAGAGGAAATGAATACAATCTTAGGGGGGAAAAAAACCTACCAAACTTCAAAAAGAAATAGAAAATCCGACCTGGGTGTGGTGGCACACACTTGTAATTCTAGTGATTTGAGAGGCTGAGGCAGGAGGATCACTAGTTCGAGGTCAGTGTGGGCAACTGAGTCCCTGTCTCAAGATAAAATAAGATATAATACAAGGGCTGAAGATACAGTGCAGTGTAGGGTGCTCATCTGCCATGTGCAAGTCTCTGGGTTTGATCCCCAGTAGTGCCAAAAATCAGAGAAAAAAGAAAAGAAAACCTGAGCCAGGTGTGGTGACATAGTCCCATAACCCTAGCACTGTGGAAGGCTGGTGCAGGAGGACCACAACTCCAAGCCCAGCCTGGGCAGCCTTGCGTGATTTTATTAACTAGGTAAAAGTAAATAAATAAATACAATGAACAGGATGGGGATGTAGCTCGGTGTGAAGTCCCTGGGTTTGGTCCCCTGTACCTCCTGAAAAAAGTTGAAATAGACCCACTACAAGTAAAGAAATTATGGAATTGACAATTAAAAACTTCCTACAAAGAAAAGCCCAGGACCAGAGAGACGGCTTAGCTGGTGAATCTGAACAAACATTTACAGAAGATTTAATACCAGTCCCACACAAAGGCCCCAGAAATAGAAGAAGCTACATTTCCCGATCCTTTCCATGAGGCAAATGTAACCCTGACAACAAAACCAAAAATACCATGAGAAAGAAAACTATAGATCAATACCTCTCATGAATACAGCAGCAAAACCCTCCAACCATTAATAGCAAACAGAATCCAGCAACACATGAGAGGACAGCTCGCAGTGGTCAAGTGGGTTGTATCCCAGGAGTGCAAAGTCAGTTTAACACTGAAAATAAATGAATGTACACATTATTAGAATACAGAAAAATCATACCCCCATCTCGATAAATGCAGGAAAAGCCTTTGACAAAATCCAACATCACTTTGTAAAGAACAAAGAGAAAGGCAGCAAGCCGGGGCGTGGTGGTGCACGCTTGAAATCCAGCACCTGGGAGGCTGAGGCAGGAGGATCACAAGCTCCAGCCCAGCCTGGGCAGCTGAGAACCATAGCAACACCCTCTCTCAATGTGAAAACCAGAAAATAGGAAAGGTCTGGGGCTGAGCTCATGTGAAGGCCCTGGTTCAATCCCTAGGACAACAACAGCAAGCAACAAACCCGAAATAGCACCTTCCTGTACCTGTACCTAATAAAGGATATCTCTGAAAAACCCACAGCTAACGTCATATTCAATAATGAAAATTCCTCAAAGATAAAGAATATCATTCCATCCCCGGTACCAAAAAAAAAAAAAGACAGGAATGTCTACCCAGGGGCCGGGGATTTAGCTCAGTGGTTTCACCGCCTGCTGCAAAAGGGCAAGGACCCGAGTTCCATACCTGGTACCAAAAAAAAAAAAAGAATGTCTACCCAATCATGCATTGTTTTAGAGAGAGATTGTAACCAGGAAAACTGAAGGAGGAAATGAAATAAAAGGCCTCTAGGGACTGGGGGTGTAGCTCAGTGGTACAGCACTTGCCTCATATGCAGGAGCCCCTGAGTTTAGTCTCTAACACCACAAAAAGAAAAAAAGCACTGGGTGTGGTGGCCCATGCCTATAATCCCAGCACTAGGGAGGCTGAGGCAGGAGGATTGTAGCTAGTAAGTTCAAGGGCAGCCTGAACTAAATAGTGAGGCTGTTTTAAGAAAAAGAAAAAGAAAAAAACCCCATGTAGATTGGAAAAGAATAAGTAAAACTACCCCTTTGTGCAGATGACACAATCATATATACAGAAAACCCCAGGGATCCACTAGAAAATTAGAACTGTATCTCTAATCATTAAGGAGGAGCAAATCAAAACTACAATCATGTATTACCCTACATCTGTTGCAACGGACATTCTAAATACAAGCAAACAAAACCAGAAAATGTAAGTGCTGCAAGAATGTGAAGAAATTGTAAAATTTATGTTTTGAGGGTGGAAATATGAAAAGGTGCAAATGATTTGAAAAATAGTATGGTATTTCCTCAGAAAGTTAACAATAGACATGCTGGTATGGTGGTGATGCCTGTTATCCCAGCACTTGGGAGGCTGAGGCAGGAGGATTCCTGTGAGTTTGAGGCCATCCTGGGCTAGACCATGTCTCCAAAAAATGAACAAACAGGGCTGGGGATGTAGCTCAGGGGTTCCACCGGCTGCCTCACAAGCTCAAGGACCCGAGTTCGATCCCCGGTACTCCCCCCCCCTCAAAAAAAAGAACAAACAAAAAAAGTTAAAAATAGAACCACCAGGCTGGGCATGGTGGTGCTTACCTGTAAATCCAGCACTCAGGAGGCTGAGGCAGGAGGATCAGTGTGAGTTCCAGGCCAGCCTGAACTACATAGTGAAACCGTCTCAAAATACCCTCCCCCAAAACAGAACCACCAGATGATGCAGCCATCCCACTTTATGGCATTTATTCAGAAGCGTTGAAGTCCAACTCTCAAGAAGATATTTGTATTCCCATGTTCATGTTAGCAGTACTCATAGTAGCCAAAATGTAGAAATGTCTAAATGCCCACTGACAGACCAATGAGTAGAGAAAATGCAGCAAACTCACTCCATGGTCTGTTATTCAGCAGCCACACAACGTGGCCTGGTCTCAGGCCACAACATGAATGAACCTTGAAGACAAACTCGGCCACGCAGGAGATTCAGCGTGACTGACTTGCGTGAGGAGTGTGGCAGTCGCACTTGTGGGAAGAGGGAATGAGAGTGGGTCGGGGGAGGAGGACATGTGGAGCCGCTGTTCAGTTGCTATAGTTTCAATTGCACAAGAAGAAAGCATTCCAGAGACACTGAGCAGCGCTGCTCTGACAGTTACCCACACTGTACTGAAGACTGAGGCACTGGTTAAAAGGGTGGGCCTCATGCTATGTGTTTTGCCACAATAAACAAGAATTAATGAGAATAGCAAAGTGGCAGGATACAAGGTCAATATACAAAAATCAATGGTATTTCCATATACTCACAATGGACAGTCCAGAAAAAGAAATCAAGAGAACAATGCAACTAGAGAAGGCAATCCACGTCTATAATGCAAGCTACTTGGGAGGGTGAAGCAGGAGGATTGCAAGTTCAATTCCAGCCTGGGCAACATAGCAAGTCCCTGTATCAAAATAAAATAAAAAGAGCTGGGATGTAGCTCAGTTGCTTACCAGTGCTGGAAAGAAAGTAGACTGATGTTAATTGAGATCCAGCCATATTTTGAGCCCGGTGCTGGGCAAATAAAACTCAGTCTGGGCTGGGGATTTAGCTCAGTGGTTCCGCTGCCTGCTTTGCAAGCACAAGGATCTGAGTTCGATCCCCAGTACCAAAAAGAAAAAACACAACAAACTCAGTTTGATGGAGGACACATCCACAATGACTACCCAATTGCAATGGCAAGGGATGCACCAGAGGCCACTAACACTGGGGAGAAAGGAACGACAGCCAGTTTTCCATTGCTGTAACAAAATACCCGAAGCTCCATAATTGGTAAAGAAAAGAGGTTTATTGAGCCCATAGTCTGAGATGGGAAGGCCACACAGCAGGGGACTGGCTGCTGTGGCACTCCGTGGCTGTGTTCCTGGTTCCTGTGGGAGAGAGAGAGCATGCGTAGACGTGGGGTCACAGGAAGGGGGGGGCGGCAGAGGCCAGGTTGTTCTTTTTGGGGTGGTGGCGCTGAATGTGAACCCAGGACCATGCTCAGCCAGCCTTGGCCCAGGGCTCGCTCTTGATGACAGCCCTCCTTCTAGAACCAGCCTGAGCCCTGGGAGAGCAGAGGCCAAGGCCTCCCCAGTCTTTCAGCTTCCAAAGGCCCAGCGTCTTCACACCACACAGAGGACCCAGCTCCCAGCCTGAGCCCTTCAGGCACAAGCCACAGCCAAACCAGAGCAGAAAGCACTTGAGGAGTGGGATGCGTTTGTGCATGCGTGCGCGTGTAGCGGTTCCAGGGAGGCTTCCCAGGGAGGGAGGTCTTGACCTGAGTCAAAGGATAAGTAGGGAACATGAAAGGTTAGTGGCAAACAGGAGCAAGAAGTTTCAGGCCCATGCCACAGGAAAGAACAGAGTCAAAAATAATTGGCACTAGGTGCAGTGCAGCATGCCTGTAATCACAACCATTGAGGAAGCTGAAGCAGGAGGATCTCTTGAGCCCAGGAATCCAAGGTTAGGGTGGGAAACATAATGAGAACCTGTCTTTAAAAAAATTAGCAAGAAAAAACAATCCAAACCAAAGATATACTTAGTTGTGGTCACATAACATTTTTAGCAGTTTCAAAATTAGAACCAACACCGCCAACATTGAGCTATCTGGGGCTTTCGAATTAAAAAAATCTGTTACCAACTCACAAAACCAGGTTTAGCCAGGTAGGTTGGCGCACGCCTGTTATCCCAGCACTCGGGAGGCTGAGGCAGGAGGATCGCTGCTAGTTTGAGGCCAGCCTGGGCTACATAATGACACCCTGTCTCAATCCCCCAAGCCCTCAAAAAAACCAGGTTTGGCATTTCTGCATGGCAGCAGGAACCTGCCTGGCCCTCTTCAGAAAGTCCCAGGAGGCTGTGGGCTTAGCGATCCCCAGGTCCCAAGGGGCCGGGCTTGTCCGGAGTTCTGGCCCTGTGGCAGCGGCGCTTGGCCTTCCAAGGCACCTGCAGCTTCTGTTCCCTCCCTCTCAAAATCTAGGATAATGAGAGACCATGAAATGGCCGTCGTCTGTCTTCCCTTACAAAGGTCTGGGATGGTTTGTTCTCCATAACGGGTGCCCAGACCATTCCCGGAGGCAGGGAAGGAGAGTGGATCGGGCTTGGGGAGAGGGTGGCGCAGTGGGGTCCACCAAGGCTGAAGGTCCACTCCGAGCACCTCGGACTGTTTCCTCCAGGGGTGAGGAGCTGGGAGAGCCTTCACGGGAGGCGGATTGTGCTCAGATTTGCCTTTAGGAAAGCAACATTACAGAAGATCCGTCAGCGGCCCGGCACTGGGGAGGCCGAGGCAGGATGGTCCCAATTCAAGGCCGGCCTGGATCATGCAGGGAGACTGTTTCAAAACAGCAACAACGCCGCTTCATGGGAGGAAGGTGAGGCAGCGCGCAGTGGTACAGGCGCCTCCACTCAGCGGCAGCCTGGGCGATGGCGAGGAAGGGAGACTGGAGGTCAGGACTTCCTGCTCCGTGAGCCCCCGAGGGACAGCAGGTTAGCCCCAGAGCACAGGAAGCGGGGGTCACGGCAGGCTGGACAGCAGGGGAAGCTGGGGTGCGGACGGGGCAGCGTCCCAGGGAGGAGCTTGGGTGGGACCTGGCAGGAGGGGAGAGAGGCGCAGAGCAGGGGACAGCGGGAGGAGCACTCAGGAGGGCTGGGCCGGCCAGGGAGGTCTGACGTGACGGGGGCCGGGGCCCTGCGGAGGGCGAGGCTGTGTGGAGCAGTGAGAGTGCAGGCCGCGGAAACAGGCCAGGACAGCCAAGTGAGAGCGGGAGGCGGAGCTAGCACGAGACTCGGCATTCAGTTTGACTTTTTATGCATGTATGTGTGTGGTACTGCGGCTGGAGCTCAAGGCAAAGGCCCTGGCTTCAATCCCTACTCCTTTTTGTTTTGGTTTTTTTCTTTTTTCCGGTACCAGGAATGGAACTCAGAGCCTCACGCTTGCCAGGCAGGCGCTGCACCACTGAGCTACATTCCTGGCCCTGGTTTTTGTTTTTTGGCCACTTGCACACCCTGTGCTTAGAGGCTGGTGAGGCCTTGTCCCTGCCAACAGGGGCCCTGGTTGAGTCCCTCCTGACCTGCCTCTGCCCACCTTCTGGCTCTGTGGCCTCTGCAACCTCCCAAGCCACTGTCCCCAGCCCCGGGGTCGAGCTCACCTTCTCCTAAGGTGTCATCACTGCTACTGTTCTGCTTTTATTGGGATGGCTTCCCTCTCTCTCCCCTCCCTTTTCTCCTGGGTAAACTCTAGGAAGCGCAGTCTAAGGAGTTGGGTTTGGCAGCACACACCTATAAGCCCTGCTACTCAGGAGGCTGAGGTGGGAGGACTGCATGTCCCAGACCAGCCTGGGCAACACAGTCACACTCTGTCTCAAAAAAAAAAGACCCAGTTTAAATGCAACCCCACCCATCACCCACTGCCACCTTCGAGGGTCTCGCCCACTTCATCCCGTGCCCCCCCAGCTGCCATCCCCTCTGCATGCCTGGCCTGCAAGAGGCCCCATGACTCATGGGTTTCAGAGTCAAAGAGACTTAGATTGTGAATCCTAGTTTGTGTGACCTTGGGCCAATGACCTCTGAGCTTGGATTTTTTTATCCATAAAAGGGGGACAAGCAAATATCACATGGGGCTCTGGAGACTTTTCAATGATAGGAAATTTATTTATTTAGGTTTTTTGAGACAGAGTCTTGCCATGTGGCCCAGGCTGGACTTGAACTCACACTCCTGCCTCAGCCTCTCCAGGGCTGGGATTCCACCCAGCTAATGAGGGAAGGTTTGCTTATAAAGGCACTTGGTGCAGTGCTTGGACACTAGGCTGCTTGGAGCAGTTAGGACTCTTATAAAAACCTAGTTTTAAATTCTCCTTTTACAGCTCTTTTTTTTGGTACCTGGGATCAAACTTGGGTCCTTGCGCTTGTGCAGCAGGCGGCAAAACCACTAAGCTAAATCCCTGGCCCGGCAGCTCATTTGTTTGAGTATCCAAAGAAAGTCCCCACATCACAGGTGGTTGACATGCTTGTCAAGACTTGATATATTTTCCCTTTATTCTCCTTTAGTGACATTTATTTGTTGAAACCAAATCATTCAACCTATAAGAATTTTCTGCATTCTAGATTCAGGTAGCCATTTCCTCAAGGTGTTATTTAATTTGTTCTTCTATCTCTCTTATTTCCTATTAAGTAATAATTAATTTTACAGGTTTGACTGGATTCAAGATTATTATTATTTTGGCAAGAGTCCTACTATGGTGATGCTGAATACTTATGAAGTCATAGCAGGAGGTACATGATATTTGGTTGTCCTACTTTTTGTGATATTAAGACTGGCAAGCCAGGTGTGGTGGTGATGCATACCTGTAATCCCAGCACTTGGGGAGGCTGAGGCAGGAGAAATCCAAGTTCCAGGCCAGCCTGAGTATAACATAGTGAGACTCAGTCTCAAAATAAAAAATAAGAAGAGGCCTAGGGCTCTGGGTTTAATCCCCCATTTCCCCCCCCCCCCCCAAAGAAGACTGGTAGGTTCTTTCTCTTACTGGCAATCATGTACTTTGAATATAACCTATTGGATGAAAATAGGAAATTATTGCTAGATATTTTAGGTGTAATCATGCATTACATAATAGTTTTGTGGTTGGGTAAAATAAAGATCCTTATCTGACATATAACATCAGTGAATCTCAAAACATGCTCAGTGAAAAAGAACAAAGAAAAAATAGAAGAAACAAACACATGCTTGGTGAAGAAAACCAGACCCATACTAATGATTTCCTTTGTACAGAACATTGTAGAACATGTTAAATTAATTTATAGTGACAGAAAACAGAGCGATGGTTGCCTAGATCTGAGGTTAGGGACTGACTGGAAGGGCCTGGGGGAACGTGTGCGCGCGCATGCGCGCAGCTGAAACCGGGGAACAAACCGACGTCTATGTTCCGAGTCCCCCAGCAGAAGCACCAGTGAAAGGCCTGGAATTAGGTCTCCGGCTGCTGCTGGCCCCGTCTGGGTTGCCAGCACTGACCTCGGCCTGGTGCTGTCCGTGGCAGGGTTGTGTCTCCCTCACCTCTGGGTTCCCGGCCCAGCACTCTGCCTGGCACAAAAGCTGGGCAGGCGGATGAGGAAGGGAATGGAAAATAACAGTCTCCTTCCTGGGTAGCTGGAGTACTCTGCCATCTGCCAACCAAACGGGAGAAACTGCAAGTGGGAGTGGCTTCCCGAGGACAGCTGGCGCGAGGGAGCAGCCTCCCACGTGCGCCTGGCATTTCACATCCACCACACTGATTCGTGGCCTCCAGGCTGGGGTAGAGCAGGGACTTGGAAGCTGGCGTTCTCCAGGGCTCCTGACCACAGTGCTCCACTCCTCCTGAGGGCGAACCCCGGAGAAAGTGGTGGGAGCCTTGCTGCAAGTGTGGCTCTGCCCCTACATTTTGGTCCATCTTTGCCATGTGTACCTGGCTCCCCGGGAGGTGTTCTGGTCTTGCTCCCTCCAGGTAAGACGTATCAGGGCCTTTCCAGTTGCAAGAGCCAGAAACCTAATACAATCTCATTGGCTTATGGGGAAAAGGAACTTGCTCCCTTGTGTAAGAAGGTCGAGCCAGATACTCGAAGGATGTCCACTATGTATCCGTCTGCACCTGCCTCAGCCTTTCTGTGCCTAGGCTCACACTGGCCAGCTTTGTCCACATGGTGACAGCATGGGCGCTGCTAGAGCTGTGCAGACATCCTTACAGCTTCCCAACCCGGTGGAAAGAGGGCTTGGTTCTCCCAGCAGCTTCAAGATGACCACACGGACCTGAACCAAGGGTCCTTCCCTGAGCCAGTGCAAAGGGCTGGTTTGACTGGGGAAGCTTGGGCCACGTGCCTACCCTGGTCCCTCCCTAAACCTCCCACATTGCCTGGGAGGAAAGGTGGACTCCCCGAAGGAAAATCCAGGTGCTGCCATGAATAAAGAGGTGATGGTGAGATGATGGGCATGGTGGTGCCTGTCACCTCAGCACTCAGGAGGCTGAGGCAGGAGGGTTGCTACACATTGGAGCCCAGCCTGGGTTACACAGTGAGTTCAGACCAGCTGAACTATATGGCAAGACCCCATCTCAACAAACATACAAACAAATGAATAAATTTTAAAAGGGCCAGGAGTGCCAGGTGTGGTGGTGCACCCCTGTAATCCCGGGACTTGGGAAGCTGAGGCAGAAGGGTCACCATGCGTTCAAGGCCAGTCTGGGCTACACAGCAAGACACTGTTTCAAAAATTTTTTTTAAAAGGCTGGAAATTTAGTTCAACACACACACATACACACACACACATACATACATGAGGCCCGGCTGGCAGCAGCAGGAGAGGCAGAGAACCTTCCCACGCTCTAGCGGAGGCGCTGGCCTGTTCTCCCGAGGAGTGGGGCTAACCCTCCCCCTGGGCTCCGGACACCTGCTCCCCTGGGCTCCCAGCCCTGGCCTCCGGCCTGCGCCCCTCCCCAGCCGCAGGCCTCTGATGGCAGCGGCATCTGCCCAGCACCCTGCCCCAGGCTCACTGGTTCTGGGCACTGTGTTCAGGTCCTCTCAGTGGGTTTGAGGCCCTGCAGGGCTGAAGGCAGTGTGTGCCGCTGCCCCCTCTGAAGATGGAGCTAAGACTGTTGCCTGGGGTGTGGGAGGGCGAAGAGAGCGGGTGTATTTGTAGGGTTCAGAGCCCCGCCGGGTGGGTTCCTCTGGCTTCGTGGGGGGACCTCGTCCCAGGCCCCGCCCGCCAGTCACAGGTGCTCAGGGACAACTAACACGCCACACCTTGTCTCCAGTGAGCCTCATCACTGCGAGGCGGGCAAGGCGGATGCTACCTGTCCCGTTCATGGATGAGGAAACAGGCTCGGAGAGGTTGGGCCTGCTGCCCGACCACAGCCGGCCGGTGGCAGACAGAGCTGTTCCGTGAGCCTCTTCACCCGGCCGGGCCTCGGCCCCGCGGACCCTCCCAGGCCAGCCCCGGGCTCGGTAACGCTCACGCACTCGGCCAGCAAGCCCCAGGGCTCTGGGATGAGGGGCGCCGGCCCCGGGAGGCAGTTGGAGGTAATCACCCCCACCGCGTAGCCCGGGGGAAACCGAGGCTGAGAGGCTGGGGCCGACGCTCCGAGGGCTCTGGTGTGCGCCGGCGGACGCGGTGGAGGACCCTCCGGGCCGCGGGGCGGCACCTGCGCCGTCGGGGCGGGGCGCCCCAGGCTCCGCCCGCCCGAAGGGGCGCTGTCCCCGGAGGCGGCGCTCGGCGCTTCCCATTCATTGTCTTGACAGCAGCCTCGCGCCGCCGCCGCTCGCGCCTCCTCCGCCGCAGGTAGGGCCGGGCCCGGGCCGGGAGCGAGGCCCGCGGCCGCCACCGCCTGTGGGGCCGCCCGTGGGCCGGGTTGCCTCGCCGAGCGGAGCCCACCCGGGTGGGGGGGGGCGTGCGGAGCGCGGGGCCGGGTGCGGCCGAGACGGAGCTGGGCAGCGCGGGCCGGGTGGGGACGCGGGAGCAGCCGCCCGAGCCCGGAGACAGGAAGAGGCTGAGAGCCAAGCAAGAAAAGGCCAAGTTCCCCTTTCCCCGGCTTCCGGGCCGGTACCTGGGGCGAGGGGGCTTCCCTCCCGCTGCTCACCTGGGGCTGACAGGCAGACCTGGGAGCCCGGGGCCTTGCACCTGCTCCCCACCTGCTGCTGGCGGGCAGACCCTGGAGCACGCAGGAAGAGGGGCCAGACCTGGACACGGCGAATGGGGCTGGCTGGGCGGGGAGGCGTCGGCACCCAGGGGCCCCGGAAGCAGAGGCGGCCCCTCCGGCTTCCCTTGCGCTCTGCCCAGCATCGGTGGGGGAAAGGGTCCCAGCCGGACCTGAGGAGTCTGCGTGGGCTGCTCCTTCCCTGCGTGCAGCTCCAGTGCGGGTGGAGAAGGAGCTTATTAGGGGACCTGCTTTCTCCGAGCAGGGGCAGGAGGCAGAGTGGGAGGAAGTTCGGGGACCTGAGCCTCGCCGATTCTGATGCGCAGAACCCTACTGGGGCAGCCATCCCACCCCATCCCCTCCCTGGCGGGCCCACCCGTCACTGGGTCTGCAGGAGAACAGGGAGGGCCAACCCTGCCCCACCCCAGGAAGCTCCTGTGTGGGCGAGGGGTGTGGGCCCTGGACGCTGATAGCAGGGGAAAATCCACCCCCGGGCCATCTGTGCCTATGCTGAACCACTGGCAAGGGATTGTTTTGCATCCAACAGCCAGTCAGTCAACAAACGTGTCCTAGGTGCTGGATTCCAGGTTCAGTTCTAGGGGCCGAGGGTGCAGGAGTGAAAGGGGCTCAGAGTGGCCTGCGGTGGAGCAGATAGGCGAGGCAGGAATGAGGAGGAGCTGGGAGGAAGGTGCATGGGGGGAGTAATGGAAGGGCACCCCAGACATGATGCTGGGCCCTAAAGGCCAGACTGAGGAGTGGCGTGAGGGTAGGAGGGACTTGTGGGGTCAGCTGTGACTTAAGGACTGAGCGTCCTGTGTGCCCCCAGGATGAGCCGGCAGGTGGTCCGCTCCAGCAAGTTCCGCCACGTGTTTGGACAGCCAGCCAAGGCGGATCAGTGCTACGAGGACGTTCGTGTCTCACAGACCACCTGGGACAGTGGCTTCTGTGCTGTCAACCCCAAGTTCGTGGCCCTGATCTGCGAGGCCAGTGGGGGTGGGGCCTTCCTGGTGCTGCCCCTGAGCAAGGTGAGCCTGAGGCCTGAGGGCCAGCAGCTTGTCCTGGGGGGCCTCTGCCATCCAGTGGCTCTGTGGCTTCCTGCACAGGCGACTGTCACCAAGCCTCCTCATGCCTCAGCTTTGTTATCTGTACAATTGCACCAGGCCAATATACCTTCTGTGCCCTCCTGCTCCCATGTGCAGAGCTCTATGGATGCTCAGAGGGCAACGTGAGGGACAAAGAAGCCTGCAGACCAGGGGTAGGCCTCCCACGGCTCAGCCTGGGGCTCTCCAGGAGGGGTCTGGCTAGGGCCGGGGAGTCCGGGGCTGGGCCCGTCTGAGGAACCAGGCGGAGCTCTTGTGGACCCAGCTAGCGGTGGGTCCCCAGCTCACAGGTGGGGTGATCCAACAGCCTCCCCTCCCTCTGAGCAGCTGGCCCCCACACTCGTGTGCCCTTTGGGGGTTGAGACAGGAAGGGGAGCCAGGCCCTAAGTTGTTACCTTAAAAGGGCCGATGGAAGCAAAGAGAAGAGGAAGTGGTTGTTGGGGTGACAGCAGGCCTTTGCCCTGCACGCTCTTCACACAGGAAGCCCTGCGGAAGCGGCAGCGGCCCCAGGAGGGGCCATTTCCAAACCCCTGCTCCTGCCTGGGGTGGTCAGACGGACCTCCCTGCCCTCTCCACTCGAAGGGCGAATCCCTCACTCACTCGTACACTTCTTCCCCAGAGGACCTTGGCCCTCCACCTGTGTGGGTGCAGGGTTTGACCTGCCGGACCCCTGGAGGCCTCATTCAGGGGAACTGGGGAGGGGTAGGGTGCTGGCCTTCAGAGCACATGGAAGACTGAGGCAGAGACAGGCAGGATCTTGGCCAGGGCCTCACATGATGATCCTGTCAGGCCCCATTCTGTGCTACTCATGGCCAGGCCCCCTGGGCCCAGGACAGAGAACAAACCTCCCCATCCCAGGCCCTGGCCTGCCTCCCTGGCACCCCAGAGCCTGCCTCCTGTGGACTGGGTTTGGAGGGCCAAAGCCCCTCTGCCAAAGGCCCCACTTTGCCCTCTAGACTGGACGAGTGGACAAAAATGTGCCTATGGTCTGTGGCCACACGGCCCCCGTGCTGGACATCAGCTGGTGCCCACACAATGACAACGTCATTGCCAGTGGCTCTGAGGACTGCACGGTCATGGTGAGTGCTGGGGGCCCTCAGGGGCTGGGGGTCCCCAGGTGGATCTGGAGCCCCAAGGACTCACTCCCTCCTTCCCTGCAGGTGTGGGAGATCCCTGACGGGGGTCTGGTGGTGCCTCTGAGGGAGCCCATCGTCACCTTGGAGGGCCACACTAAGCGCGTTGGCATTGTGGCCTGGCACCCCACGGCCCAGAATGTACTGCTCAGTGCAGGTGACGGAAAGGGGCCAGGGGTGCTGGGGGCGGGCGTAAACGGGGACAGGAGCCCACGGCTCTGACACCGGGCGACTTGCAGGGTGTGACAGCGTGATCCTGGTGTGGGATGTGAGCACCGGGACAGCCATGCTGACACTGGGCCCGGACGTGCACCCAGACACCATCTACAGCGTGGACTGGAGCCGCGATGGTGGCCTTATCTGCACTTCCTGCCGCGACAAGCATGTGCGCATCATCGAGCCCCGAAAAGGCACAATCATGGCTGTGAGTTGCCGTGAACCCCGATCCTGGGGCTTGCCACGCGGTCCCCCGGGCCCACCATCCACCAGAACTCTGCATGCTGCCCCCCTTCCCCAGCTGTGGCCTGGTCCCTCGGGATACGTATGGGTGCCCTACCTAACCCCACCCTCTTCTTGCAGGAGAAGAGTCGTCCCCATGAGGGGACCCGGCCAGTGCATGCCGTGTTTGTATCGGAAGGAAAGATCCTGACCACAGGCTTCAGCCGAATGAGTGAGCGGCAGGTGGCGCTGTGGGACACAGTGAGTGCCGAGACAGGACGCAGAGGGCCCTGGGAAGAGTCAAGCTGGAGGTTGAGTCCCTGTCCTGCCTCTTGCCTGGCTGGGCGGCCCTGAGCCTCAGTTTACCCATGAGATGAAGATGTCCACTGGTTGGTGAGGGAGGGCCCTCTCCCAGTCACTAGTCAGTGAGGGCCATGGGCCCTCGGGCTGACGTGGCCCAGCCCATTGCTACCTCCCACCTGTCTGCAGAAGCACCTGGAGGAGCCTCTGTCCCTGCAGGAGCTGGACACGAGCAGCGGAGTCCTGCTGCCTTTCTTTGACCCTGACACCAATATTGTCTACCTCTGCGGCAAGGTGGGTGATCAAGGGTGCTGGGGGCAGGGAGGTGGCCAGGAGGGGCCTGAAGAGGACCAGGGCTGGAGGCCTCTGCCGGTGCTGACCTTCCCTTTGCATGAACCACCTGCAGGGTGACAGCTCTATCCGGTACTTTGAGATCACCTCTGAGGCCCCGTTCCTGCACTATCTCTCCATGTTCAGTTCCAAGGAGTCCCAGCGTGGCATGGGCTACATGCCCAAACGTGGCCTGGAAGTGAACAAGTGTGAGATTGCCAGGTGATTGACCCTGACCCAGCAGGCTTCTAGGGCAGCACTGACCCCATGCTGACAATCAGTACCTGCCCAACCATGCTTCGGGCACTGCTCACCTTCCTGTTTCCACAGATTCTACAAGCTACATGAGCGGAAGTGTGAGCCCATTGCCATGACAGTGCCTAGAAAGGTGATGCCCCACGCCCTGCCTGGGTCAGCCAGGCGGTGACCTTGAGGGCATGCAGGGTGGTGTGGGACACTACCACTCACCCCACTGCCTTGGCCTCCCCAGTCGGACCTGTTCCAGGAGGACCTGTACCCGCCCACAGCAGGCCCCGACCCTGCCCTCACGGCTGAGGAGTGGATGGGCGGCCGGGATGCCGGGCCTCTCCTCATCTCCCTCAAGGACGGCTATGTACCCCCAAAGAGCCGGGAGCTGCGAGTCAACCGGGGCCTGGAGAGCTCTCGCAGGAAGGCAGCACCAGAAGCTGGTGGCACCCCGAGCGTGGTGAGAGGCGGGTGGGGACCTGGGGAACTAGGACGGGACAATGGGGAAGGGCAGAGCCAGCATGGATGCACTCAGTGCCCCAGTGGAAGGAGAATGACATTTGGGGCAGCCCAAACTCACAATGTCAGGGGTCTCTTGGGGGCCAGGAGTGGGTGATCCAGAGTCCTCAGAAAACAGGCTCCAGGCTTACAGGCCTGCAGCTCATTGGGCAGCATTTGAGACAGAAGGGTCCAAAGCCTAGGGCTCTTGGTCTCTCAGGAGGGACTGAGCAGATGCCAGGGAAAGAGGAGCCTTGGGCCAAATGCAATGCTGGGTCCCCCAGGACGCCATGTCCCGGATGGAGGAGGAGATGAGGAAGCTGCAAGCCACAGTCCAGGAGCTACAGAAGCGCTTGGACAGGCTGGAGGAGGCGCTTGAGGCCAAATAGATAATGCCATGGCTTTCAGCTGGGGCCAGCCACTCACACCCACTCAAGTCAGGGCGGCATGGCAGATAAGAAAAGGCAATAATAATAAAATGGCTTTATTTTCTGATACCTCTCAGACCCTGATGATGTTCACCTGGGCCTGCTGAACTGACCTGGCTTTGAGCTCCCTTTGTTGGCCCTGATGGGACTAAAGCTATCAGGACTGGTGGTCACCCCTGTGTCCTACATCACAGGAGTGGGAATCAGGGCAGGACCACCCATGCTAATGTGGGATATAAGCTTGCTCTCCATTCCTAGCTCCTCAGGACCAGCAGGTCTGACCTATTTAGGACCCTGATTGAGCCTCAAAAACTTCCAGTTTTACCCCAAACATCATTTATCCCAGTCAACCAAAACATCAGGTTGCATGCAGCTGCCCTGGCCATGCTGCTTTCGGGTGAAGGAACCAACAGGCACTCACACCCTAATCATCTTTCATATCACAGGCCCAAAGGAAAAACAAGTGCAAGGAAAAAGCTTAGAGCCAATGCAGCAGCCTAACCCTGGTTTACAGAAGAGACAGGCACAGAGCAGGAGACCGGCTGGCTGAGGGGCCGATCCTGAGCCAGGACGAGTCACCTCCGTCTTATTCAGTGTCCCCCTAATGTGCTGCCGCTGCCTCTCGGGGGCCTTCCTGTGGGTTCTGCCTGGGCTTGGCCTCTGTGCGCAGCGGACCTGGCTAGACCACATCCATCAGACCCTCTCAAGCTGGGGTGTGGGGCTGTTTTGATGCCCAGCTTACTGGGTAACGCCCGGGCTGGCACAACAGACCGTGGGAACAGATGTCTTGGCCACAGCAGGGCTTGCTCACACCAGCAGGCACCACCAGAGGCCCCATTCCTGGCTGCTCCTCTTTGGCCTGCCAGAGTGCACAGGGTGGATGTGAACATGTCCCTGCCTGCCACACAAGCCATGTGAGTGGGACTTCTCTCCTAGTGATCAACTACCCAATGGGGGCAGGTTCCTGTCCCAGCTGGTGAATGAGTGGTGGACCCCATCAGGGGTGTGGACTGGGCTTCTTAAGGAGTGATGGTCCTCCTCTCATCTCTCCTGGGTCCTCCTGATCAGACTCAGCCACAGGTTCTGCTAGTTCAAAGGAACTACAAACGCCCAAGAAATGATCTCGGACCCCGAAGTTAACCAGTGACCCCCCCCACGACTCCCAGCTCGACCCGGTCATTCTCTCTCTGATGGGAACAGAGACAGAGCAGTTGGGTGTGGGTAATTCAGGGGCTGAAGAACTCCCCTTGAAAACACAGGGGAACAGAGTGGGCTAGATGGCTGAATCGTCTCATTTCTTATTCTCCAAGAGTCCTGGCCTCAGCCTGGTCACTTGGTGCCCCTCCTGGGTCTCACAGTCCTACCACCTAATGACCCTTGGTTAAGACTGATAGACTTCTCACCTGACCCAATTTTGTGGCTCAGGTCAGCTTTACTTTCCAGCTCTAATCCTCATCAGTACAATTTTTTTCCCTTTAAGATAGGGCCACTCTATGTAGCCCAGGGCGGGCTTGAACTCCCAATCCTTCTGCTTCAGCCTCTGGAGTGCTGGGATTGCAGTTGTGCGCCACCTCACCCTGCTTCATCTCTGTATCTTGAAGGCTGGCAGAGAGCAGGAAGCCCAGCTCTCTGGGGATTGGGTGGGTAATGGAAGCACAGGCTGAGGGGTCCACAGAGAGGTTTAATAGGCAGGCCCTGGAAAGGACTTAGGGACAGAACTTTCATTTTATAAGCAGAGACACACAGCCCAGAGGAGGAAGACAAACTTGTTCAAGGTAAAACAAAGGACTGAGACAAAACAGCGAGAAGCCAAGCCCTAGAGTCAGCCTCAGCGCGACTCCCACACACAACACACTGACACAAAAGCTGGCCCTGGTACTTAATTTAACGGCTGTGCAGGCCTCCATCCCTCACTTCTGCCGCTCACGGGCCCACTGCTCTGGGGTCAGGGTTTTCTGCTCAAAGGCGTGGATGTGCGGGAGCTCTTCTGCTAGGCACTCATTCACCAGCCTGAGGCAAAAGATGGGGTTGGGAAATGGCAGACCGAGGCCGGGGTCCCAGTGGCCAAAGCTAGGGTGACCCAAAAGGCTGGAGGTGTCTCTGAAGCGGTAGTCTGTCTCCAGGATGTGGGAGCACGTGGAGATGAGGAGGAGATTGGGGGCGCAGGGCCCCTTAAAGGGGTGAGGGAGTTGGGATGGAGGAGGCAAGGGAGTGGCCGGGGTGTGCTCTCGGATGTTTCGGGGCTCACCGGTGTCTCTGAAGCAGTGGCTTCCCCTCGAATTTAGCCGACACCACGAGGACTCGGAAGCTCGCCGCACAACGGTTCAGAGTCGTGTCCTCCACCTCCTACCGGGCAAAAGAATGGAGACCATGCGGTACTCACCCACAGGAGCCCTTTCCCCAGCTCCGGTGAATCCAGAGGGCTCCGCTCACCACGTGGTCCGCCTCCAGGTCCCGCTGCAGCTTATCCCGCAGGGAAGTGGCGCTGAGTTCCATGGCGACAACCCGAAAGGCAGCAGCCCAGCGGGGCAGAATCCACCTCCGAACCGGCACTCTAGTTTCCCTCTTGGCTGGAGCCACTTCCGCTATGGAACCTCCTTCCACCCTCACTAAGGCCTCTGTGAGGCACTTCCGCCCTCACACCAGTAGGGCTTTCCCAAAGTCAGGGGTTTCCGCGCAGCGTTAGCCAATCAGAGTCGGAGAGAGGAAGGACTCTGTGGGAGCGAACGATGATTGGTTGGGGCTTCAGCGCCCAGCCCTCTGGGTTCTGTGTCAGGGTTTACCCGCTGCGTTCCTCCAGGAGAGGTTGCAGGAAACCTGCGTTTCTGAGGCCTCCAAGATGCCTAGCAATCGCCCCGGAGCGCTTTTCCCGAAAGGAGCGTCTTGCTTCCCTAGCAATCCAGACATCCCCGGGGTCTGAGGTCACAGAAATCAACCTCCAGCTCAGGGCCATAACCCATAAAGTCCCGTTGGGCCCGTCGGGGGCGGCGAGGCCCGGGCGCTTCTTCAGCGTCCACCTGCTCTGCTGTTGCCGTCTGTGCTGAGCTCGTTGTCTCGCAACATTAAGGAGTGAAGGCGCGAAGCAAAGGCGGTCAGGAGACTCTTTGGAAATAAGAACAGCTCCTGATTTCCAGGAGGGATCCCGAGGAGGCTCTGTCCAAGGATATTGTATATAGCAAAATCAATTTTCAATCTGTTTCCTGACACAAGGCAGAAGAAGGGCCTGATCACTCTTTAACTGGGAACTGTTGGTGGTTTCTCTTGCTGTGTAAAAGCTTTTTAAAAAGATGAGGTCCCAGTTGTTGATTCTTTGTGCTAGTTCCTGTGTAATCAGGGTTTTGTTCATAAAGTCTTTGCCTCCAGCTCTGTCTTCAAGAGTTCCGCCTATTCTCTCTTCCAGTAGATTTAGTGTTTCTGTTTTAATAGTTAGGTCTTTGATTCATTTTGATTTTAGTTTAGTGCATGGTGAGAGACATGATCTAGTTTAGTATTGGCATGTAGAAAGCCAGCTTTGTCCAGCAACATTTATTGAAGAGGCTTTCTTCCAGTGAAGGTGTTTGCCCCCTTTATTAAGGATGAGGTGGCTGAGTGTGTTTGGAGCTATTTCTGTATCTTCTATTCTGTTCCATTGATCCTCGGGGTGGGGATTTGCCAGTACCATACTGGGTTTTGTTTTTTTTTTTTTGGTACCAGGGATTGAACTCGGGTCCTTGCGCTTGCACAGCAGGTGGCAAAACCACTGAGCTAAATCCCAGGCCCAGTACCATACTGTTTTTATCACAGTAGCTCTGCAGTATAATTTCAGGTCAGGGATTGCCTTTGTTGCCCCAAAGTCACTCTTAACTGAGAATTTTTTATTGTACTCAAGTAAAAACTTCCCAGAACCCAGGAGCCAGGGGACAGAAAAGGAGTAGTGGGCAGTTAGGGATGCTGAGGATCAGGTCTCCAGCAGCTCTGTCCAGTGTCGCTATGGCGACAAGAAAATGGATCAAATGCAGCTGTCTTAGTTATTTTTCTCATTGCTGAGACAAAATACCTAACACTCAAAGTTAAAGGAAGAAAGGACTCTTTGGCTCACAGTTTGTAAAGGTTTCAGTCCATAATTGCCTGGCTCCAAGGCAGGGTAGCATGGCAGAAAAGCATCACAGAGGACAAACAGTCCATGGAAAGCAGCAAACAACAAGTAAAAAGCAGGGACCCTCTTTTTGGCCCTTATATCTTATCCAGGCTACACACTCTTAGGGGCACCCTTAATCTTACCAGGACTATGCCAAACCAATCAGTGGACTAATTTAGTAATCACACACCCTTGAGCCCAGCACCACACACTCCAGATCCAGCTGTTATAGCAAAGTATGACAGCTCAGCAGTACAGCCAAGTGCTATGGTTATCCAAAGGTCTCTGGAGGCAAAGAAGTCAAGCAGCACTCGGAGAGATGCCACCAGTGGGCTCAGAGGAGTTTGTACTCCAAAATCTTGAGCCCCGAACAGAAAAGGAAGTAACCTTATATAGAGCTCTCTGGGGTAGGGGGGTGGGCCCACCTACCAGGTAAGTATGTTCACTGAGGTGGATGGGCAGAGTTAACAGAACATTCTCTCTCCTTTTTTTGGTACTGGGGATCGAACTTGGGATCTTGCGCTTTTGAGGCAGGCAGTGGAGCTAAATCCCTGGCCCTTAATAGAACATTCTTTAAACCTTAGGTAGAAGGCTCTCAATTTTAGATGGAGAGCCAGGGAAGACCTCCGGAGAAGGTGGCACGAGTTCTACTGAAGAGCTTTCTAGGCCATTCCCTGCCCCTGCACCCAAGGAGCAGGGTTGATGGTGAACACTCCGTACACCCCACCCTGACTCCAAGTGTTCAGGCAGTATTATCATAGACAGCTAAATTAGACAGAAATTAACAGGCAGTCAGGGAGGGATCAGCCCTCAAGGCAATCAGTGCAGAAGACGAGACACACCAAGATTGGGGCTGGAGGCGAATCTGAAGAGAACCGGGCCTCAAGATGGAGACGCAGCAGCCAGGCACGAAAGCCTCGCTAGAGATATAAACAGCAGCTCGAAATTATACCATAATTAGCACCACCTGCTCCAGTGGGCCCAACTAGGCCTCAGATGCGCAGGTGGGTACCAAAATGTCTAAACCCATCTGCCAGCCCTGTCGAGGAATGCCTAATGTGCTCGCCATATTCCCTTGCTGTGTGCCTCGTCTCCTTACTGGATCGATATCAGCTAAATTTATAATCCTGTAGTTTGACTGTGGCTGACCCATGTTGTACGGACGTTGTGATTTTGCTATATACAATATCCTTGGACAGAGCCTCCTCGGGATCCCTCCTGGAAATCAGGAGCTGTTCTTATTTCCAAAGAGTCTCCTGACCGCCTTTGCTTCGCGCCTTCACTCCTTAATGTTGCGAGACAACGAGCTCAGCACAGACGGCAACAGCAGAGCAGGTGGACGCTGAAGAAGCGCCCGGGCCTCGCCGCCCCCGACGGGCCCAACGGGACTTTATGGGTTATGGCCCTGAGCTGGAGGTTGATTTCTGTGACCTCAGACCCCGGGGATGTCTGGATTGCTAGGGAAGCAAGACGCTCCTTTCGGGAAAAGCGCTCCGGGGCGATTGCTAGGCATCTTGGAGGCCTCAGAAACGCAGGTTTCCTGCAACCTCTCCTGGAGGAACGCAGCGGGTAAACCCTGACACAGAACCCAGAGGGCTGGGCGCTGAAGCCCCAACCAATCATCGTTCGCTCCCACAGAGTCCTTCCTCTCTCCGACTCTGATTGGCTAACGCTGCGCGGAAACCCCTGACTTTGGGAAAGCCCTACTGGTGTGAGGGTTCTCCTCTTCCAGCTAGATGGTTGGCAGAAAGGGCCGAACTATGGGCATTGATTCAGGCACTCAAATGGTCAAAAGGGAAGAAAGTCAATATATATGCTGATTCCAGATATGCTTTTGCCACAGTACATGTCCATGGCATGCTGTACAAAGAGAAGATTGCTCACGGCAGAAGGGAAACAGGTTAAAAACAAAGAAGAAATCCTACAGCTCCTAGATGCAGTTTGGGAGCCTCTGAAGGTAGCTGTCATACATTGCAGAGGCCATCAGAAGGTGAAAGATTCCGTTATTCTTGGGAACTCAAAGGTGGATGAGGCAGCCAAAAAGGCAGCCGACTCCAACACAGAATTTATAGAACCTACAGAACACCCAAGAAGAATCCGAAAAGATTGAATTGTACTACTCAGACAAAGAAGATGAATGGACAGAGTCAGAAAGCCCATAAAGGAGACTATAACAACTGGGTGCTCCCTGATGGATGGGTAGTCATTCCAAGGAGACTAGCCTATGTGTGGGTCAATAGACATCATGATCTCACACATGCAGGAAAAACTGCTGTAAATGAACTCCTTCAAAAATATGACTACATTCCTCAACTCTCCACACTTTGTGCCCTTGTCTGCTGAAGATGCAGCACCTGCACCAGAGTAGAACCCAACTAAAAGCCTTGGCCAGCACCTGTCCAACACATTGGAAGCTCTCCTTTTGAAGACATACAAGTAGACTTCACAGAAGTGAAGTCCTACAAAGGCCACCGATATCTATTAGTCTTTGGTTTGGTTTGGTACTGGGGATTGAACTCAGGACCTTGCCCTTTTGAGCCAGGTGCCGGAACCACTGAGCTAAATCCCTGGCCCCAATATCTATTAGTCTTAATCTGTACCTACTCAGGGTGGGTTGAAGCTTTCCCACTAAGACAGAAAGGGCCCAAGAAGTGTGCAGGGCCCTTCTAAGAGAAATCATTCCAAGATATGGAGTCCCTCTAACCAGTGGCAGTGACAATGGTCCAGCCTCTATAGCAAAAATATTCCAAAAATTGGCTAAGTTGCTAAAAATAAAATGGAACTTGTATGCAGCCTACCATCCACAAAGTTCAGGGAAAGTAGAAAGGAGGAACAGAACCATAAAGTTAGCTCTCCCTAAATATTGCTTAGAGACCCAGGACCCTTGGGTAGATCTCTTACCCTTCGCCTTGATAAAAATCAGGAATATGCCTAGCAAAGGAAAATTCTCCCCATTTGAAAGACCACCACCATTGGTTAAAAGCCTTAGGGGCATTACACATGAAGTAGGAAGCCTAATGCTCAACAAACAGCTTGAAGCTTTAGGACAGGATTTTTTTTTTTTTTTTTGGTACCGGGGATCGAACTTGGATCCTTCCACTTGCAAGGCAGGCGGCGGAACCACTGAGCTAAATCCCTGGCCCCTAGGACAGGCTTTTTATCAGCTTCACAAATATTACGGGGAAAGGGATAACATCCCCACAGACAGTCCTGCTCATTCATTTGAGCCAGGGGTCCAAATTTATGTAAAAGATTGAAAAAAGGACTCCCTCACCCCAATTTGGAAAGGGCCTTATGTTATTGTTATAACAACTCCCACAGCAGTAAAAGTTGCAGAAGTCCAGCCTTGGATCCATCATTCAAGAATCAAGGAATTTCATCCAGGAGACTCCTAGACGGGGCAGCCGGATCCAGCAAACCCACCGAAGGCGACCCTGCTGAGACAGTGCTCTCAAAGCCCTGCTCCTGTCACTCCAGAAGCTGAAAGGTCAACACACGGCTGAAGAAATTAAAGGAGATAATGCTCTCAAGAGCCCTGCTGACAGGCTGACGTACAGCTAAAAGACTCATGAACAGTTGTGGTGCCTTGTTGTCTGGGACTTTCCTACACACTATTGTTGTTGTGTGTTTAGTTCTAACTGGGTTCCTCTTTGGCATTGCTCTGGGTGCCAGTGCCCCAAGAGACTGGAGCACTTGCCAAAAATGCTGGCTTGCGATCACATATTGATGTATTATCTCACTCTTCTGGGTTCTTATATGTTTAAGGTAAATGTGGGACATTGGGACTTTGAACTGAGTATGTACAAGCCTAAAGATTCAAAGTTTGATGCCCAAACCAAACTAATTAAGGTAATTAAATGTGAACCCAAAGGGCATCCCCTGCCCCTTACATTTGATGGATGCCCACACCAGCATTATGGCTGGCCGGGAGTGATAGATTGTGGAGGATATAATTGGGAACAACAATACTGTAGAATGAAGTCAGAAGGGCAAGCAATAATGGCTATAAAGTTCCAAACTACAAAATATAGTGAGGTTTTACATTTATTAATGGTAGGAAAAGAAACATGCTCTACAGAGCAAGTGAGGGTCAGTTAACACTGGGAAAAGAAGTGCACTCTGCAGGGTGACGGACCACTGGAGGAGAGAGCACAGCGGCCATGAGCTCAGTGACAGCCATTTTGTACCTCCCACTCCTCAGGCTGAGGTCAGGGCTAGACCAGCCTATCAAAAAACCTGCTTGAGCTGAGGATTTAGCTCAGTGGTGCTACCTACTGCCTGCCTCGCAAGCACAAGGTCATGAGTCCAATCCCCAGTACCAAAAAAACCAACAGCAACAACAACAAAACCTGCTTGAGTTCTCCAGAAGAACTGAAGATATCACTTTCTGATTGGTTCCATTGCTTCTTGGCCTTTTGGCTAAGATCAAGTGTAGTATCTGATTGGTTCCAGGTGCTGGTCTTGGACTGTCCTCTCCTGGATCTCCATGACTGACAAGTCACACCCACATGCCCAGCCAGCTGGCCTCACTGCCATAAAGCTGTACACCTTTATTCATTTGTAACAGGGATCTAGACACCGGGCTTGTAGAGGCCCACTGGGTAACTAAAAGCAGGATGAAACTTGGCATCTCTGCCTTCTTCTATCTGTCTTCCTTATTACCTTAAAATTTTGGGTCAGATCCCCACTCAGCTCTGCACAAAAGCATGGTAACCATTTAAGGAGTCCCCGTAATATAAACCTTATTAGCCCTAAATTTACCTAGCTTAGCCGCCTTCAAGACTAAGGAAACCAACACAAGAGTAAGCTACATACTGCTTGATGGTGGCACAAGCCTGTGATCCAAGCACTTGGGGAAGCCAGAGGAGCAGGAGCACAAGTCTGAGCCCAACCTGGAAAACTTAGCAACTTAGTAAGACTGTTTCAAGAAAAAAAAATAGTAATTTCAGGATTTGCAGCAACATCCAATTGCCAAGTTTACAAGGCTCAGTTCCAGATCCCTTGGAGCAATGCCTACAAGTCCTCAGTCACTGTCCCAAACCAAGTCACCTTGCTTCCAGGAAAAGCAGAGCATTTCAGACCACCCCATGATGTTACTCCCAAGGAAAACCAACCACCCGTATCAGGAGCCCCCCCCCCCCCCCCAGTCACCGTCTCACTATGGGAACCGCTGACAGTCTCAGAACCTCCCACAGCCAGTCCTTTATACTGATCGCCAAGAACGCAACTTGAGCAGGATGACCTCCTCTTCCAGCTACTGGGCAAACCCCAAACCCCTGCCTTCATTCCCTTTTCCAGAAAGCCCTAAATCTGTCAGTTCCAAGGCAGGTCTTCCAACTCTCTAGCTGTCCTTTACCACGCTACTTTTTTTTTCTTTTTTGGTTTTTTTGAGACATGGTCTGCACAAGTAGTTTCGGCTGGTCTTAAACTCACTATAACTCATGCTGGCCTCGAGCTCGAGTCAATCCTACCTCAGCCTCCCAAGTGCTGGGATCACAGGCGTGCGCCACCACGCCCGCAATCTTTTTGAGAGTCGTTTTAGGGTAAACTGAGTTTCATCACGTCAGCCCAGCAGGAACAGAACGGCCCAGTGATGACAAACCCCACAAGACGAGCCACGAGACTTCCTACCCTTTCTGTAGCCACTTCCGCTAGGGAATTACTACCGCCTTACCAGGGCGTCTGTAACGCGGCACTTCCGCCCTCATTCCAGTAGGGTTCTTTCAAAAGCCAGACTTTCCGAGTTTAGCGGTATTAGCCAACCGGCGTCCGCGGGAGGCGGGCTCCGAGAGAGCGGGTGCTAATTGGTCGAGGCCCCAGCCTGCACCTCGGCAGGCGTGTGGCGGCGGGGTCCGGACGCCTACCTCCTTTCTGAGGTTTTCCGACCGCCTCGCGATCGCCTCCGAGCAATTTTCCCAAAACAAGCGCCACGCTGCCCTAGCAACTCAGTCATCCCTGGGATCCGAGGTCAGAGAAAGCAGCTTCAGCCCTGGGCCCGTAACCTGTGAAGTCCGATGGGCCCCTTGGGGGGCGCGGTGAGGCCGGGGCGCTTCTTCGGCGTCTACCTGCTCTACTGCCTGAACCCTCGGCATCGGGGGCGCGTATACGTGGGGTTCACCGTCAACCCTGCTCGTCGGGTGCAGCAGCACAACGGAGGTCGCAAAAAAGGCGGGGCCTGGCGGACGAGCGGGAGAGGGCCCTGGTACGAGGGGAAGGGGCTCAGTGCTGAGGAGTCTGCAGGGAGGAGGCGGATTCCCATGGGCGCCCCCTAAATCAGGGGCAGGGCCCCGCTCGGCAGAGGGCGAGGCCAGAGACTGGAGGGCCTTACGAGGGCGGGCGGGCGGTAGGGATGGGCGGGTCCACAGGGGCGGGGCCGGGCGGAGGAGCTCCTTGTAGCTGTGGGGAAGGCGTCCGCGTGCGAGGTCTGGTGATTGAGACTGAGGTCCGGGGAGTGGGACATTGGAGTCAGCCTGGGGCTGGGCTCGAGCACTGAAGGGAGGGCTGAGGACTGCCACGGCCTGCGACCCGAAGAGGGGCCTGAGGCGGCAGGTGCGAGGGAATGGGCCGAGCTCCAGGGCAGGGGGTCGGGCGGGCTGGAGCTCACGGGCCGCCCCTGGTCCTCGCAGGGAGATGGTGCTCCTCGTGCACGGCTTCCCGTCCGCTGTGGCCGCGCTCCGGGTAAGACAGGCACCGGGGTGGGGGGCTCAGGGCGGCTGGGGCCCAAGCCGCACCCGACGCCAGCGTCCTCCGCCCGCAGTTCGAGTGGGCCTGGCAGCACCCGGGCGCCTCGCGCCGGCTGGCGCACGTGGGGCGGCGCGTGCGCGGAGAGGCCGCCTTCGCCTTCCACCTGCGCGTGCTCGCGGCTATGCTGCGCGCGCCGCCCTGGGCCCGGCTGCCGCTGACCCTGCGCTGGCTGTGCCCGGACTTCTGCCGCGACCTCTGCCCGCCGCCGCCGCCCCACATGCCGCTGGCCTTCGGGCCGCTCCCGGCGTCCCGGGCCCGGAAGGACGATGGCGAGCCTGCCACAGACCGGGGCTCCCAGGACCAGTGCACCCTGTGTGCCCTCGCGCTGCAGGTGAGGTCCACAGGGACCTGGGTTGTGGGGTTCCGATGGCTGTGGATGGGGCCTTTTATTGAAGGGCCACCCTGCCCGCCTCTGTCGGTATCGTGTGGCACTTGGGGCCGTTCCTGGACATAGCAGTACCTGTCCGCAGCATCTGCCCTTTCCCGTGGGAAGCACCTCACTAGATCCCGGAGATGACAACGCGACACCTTGTCCTTGCCTGGCTCTCCATCTAAAATTGAGTCTTCCGTGTGCATATCCCTGCCCTTCTCCCCTGAACTCTTTGTTTTAACATGGCATAAATTGTAGCAAGTGTTGTCATCAGGCTCCCCGCCCTTCATGCTAAATCCAGGAGGGCAGTTCTTGTGCTCCTGTAAATGGAAGTAAGCGACTCCATGCGTGCCTTGCCTCCCTGGCCCCTCTGACAGGATGAAGAGGGCCCCCTGCGTTGCCCCCACCCTGGCTGTGTCCTGCGAGCACATGTGATCTGCCTGGCAGAGGAGTTCCTCCAGGCGGAGCCAGGGCAGCTTGTGCCTCTGGAGGGCCAGTGTCCTAGGTGAGTCTGGTCTCTGTCCCCAGCCTGGTCTAGTCCAGGGTGAGGGTGCCCAGGGCTCCAGGCCAGGCTGGAAGGGGCTTGTGATGCCTGACTCTGTATCATCCAGTCCACTGTGCCCTGGGTAGGTGTAAGAACTCACTGCTGTGGGGAGACCTACTCTCGCTGTGTCAGATGGGCTCCAAGGAAGACAATGATGACTCGGATTTCGAAGAGGTGAGATGGCCCTGGCCTCAGGTTACCCCCTCCATCCCCAGGCTGCCTCTGACCAACTCACTTGTCTCCACAGGGACACTGGACAGACCTGCTGGAGATGTGATCCTCACTGCCCCAACTCTGCCCACTATTCCTTTTGTATTCTCCTTTCTCCTCAGATCTGTGCAGTTTTTACTTGAGTACAATAAAAATCTGAGTTAAGAATACCTTGTGATGTTTGTGAGGGTCCTTGATGGGTGGAGCAGAGGAGGGAGAGGGGGAGGTACCCCAACCATAGCACCAGCTTCTCTCCTGCCTGAAAAACCTCTGCCTGGATTTCCCCAGCCCACCTCAGGTCACAGGATTCTTTTGAGGGCTCATGATTGAGGGGCTACCTCCTGTGGCTACTGGACTGGTGTCCTAGTTCTTCCCTGACCAGTGTTCTCCTTGCTCTACTCTGGCCCTAATTACTTCAGGCCACCCAGCCTCATCACTCTGGACTGGGCTCGCCACAGCCAGAAGTTCCTGCAATCCCATTTGCCTGCTCCATCCTGAACTCTTGGTGTCTTGCAGGCTGCCCTGGAGCCACCAGGAAGGTGAGTAGCGCTGACCTTTAGCTTTCTGGGCCTGTCCCGTGCAGTGAATGGATCAATTAAAAAAGCATTCTGCTGACCTGCTATTCAGCCGAGATTTGGTGGTGGTGGTGGGGTCTGGTCAGTTGCTAGTCTGCTGCTCCAAAAGAAATCAAAACAGTCCGACACTGGCCACTTTCCCCTAGTTTCAGAAGTTTTGTTTTCTACAAACTAAACACACGTTTTCTGTTTTCAGACCCCTCTACACTTGGTTCCAGCCCCAGTGCTAGTCAAAGTAAGTAGTCCCTTCCGCTAAACCCCACCCTGTCTTTTCAGTAGGACAGCCAGTCCCGGGTGCTGGCTCCACCTCCCTCCCACTCTGGCCCCAGGAAACCTGCAGCTCAGAGAGCAGCCTGCACTCTTCACTCGGCACCCATGCTAAGCCACTGCAGGCCGGGAGCCTCCGAGGTCAGGTAAGTGCCGGGTGGGGCTGGCCCTCCAGACCTCCCTTGCCTGCCCAGCTCCTGGCCAGCACCTCTTCCAAGGCAGCCTGGCCCCTTGGGCTTCATCAGGCTCCTGTGCGATCCCTGGCTGTGGCCTTGTCTTAGTACTTTTCTCATTGTTGAGAAAAAATACCCAACATTCAAAGATAAAGGGGGAAAGGTTTATTGAGCTCATAGTTTGTAGAGGTTTCAGTTTATAATTGGCTGGCTCCAAGGCAGGGTGGTGTGGCAGACAGATATCGAAGAGGAGAAACAGTTCATGGCAGGCAGAAAGTAGCAAAGCAACAAAGGGTGAGCACAGCTTTTTCTATCCCTTATATCTTATCCAGGCTACCCACACCCTTAATCCTAGTGCCCTTGATCTAGTATTGGACCATGAATCAATTCCAGCATCACACACTCTAGATCCAGCCACCTGTGCAAAAGCTCCACCTATGACTCCATGAGGCTTTGAGGGAACATCTAGACACACCATAACATTCTGCCCCTGGCCCCCAAAGACTCATGGACATGATGCCAAAGACCTAACAGTTTCAGCACTGCTGAAAAGTCAAAGTCCAAATGTCTTCTGAGCTTTAAGGCAAACTCTTAGCTTGTACAAGCCCCTGTTCAAATGAAAGAAAGTTAAACATTTCCAGCTTTCAATGCCATAAGATAGACATTTCCATTCCAAAAGTTACAAATGGGACAATGGCAAGGAATGGAAACAAAGCAAGACCAAAATACAGCAGGGCAAACATTAAACCCCACAGTTCCTCTTCCAGCATCCCAGGCAAACTGGCAAGTTGTGAGCTCCAAAGGGCTTGGGTGGGTCCGCCCCTATGGCGCTTCTGGGGGTTGTAGCTCCCCAGGCTCCACTGGGGCCAGCTCTGCTCCCTCTTTGCAGCTTTCCTTACGTGATCCACATTCCTGGCTGGAACTTCCCAAACTTCTGGGGTCTCCACTGCACCTCTGGCTTCACACACTGCCCTCCTGGACACACTGCCAGGCCTCCCAGGCCTTCCGAAATCTGGGTGGAAGCCTTCCTGACTGCATAACTCTTGCATTCTGCATGCATCTAAAACCAGCACCACATGGATGAGGCCGAGGTCTGCTGCCAGCTAGAGCAGTAGTATCCAGGGTTCCTTCTCTTTTGGCTGTAGGGGTCCAGTGTCTATGAACCAGATTCCAAGGAACAGCTTCCCTAGGCTGCTGCCATTCTGGAACACGGTTGCTCTGGGACTGTGTTCTCAAAGAAAAGTCTTTTACCTTTGCAACTCTTGAGGATGGAGAGGCTAAAGTCCTTTTGGTTCTTGTGATGTCCTCAAGCCATCTTCTCTGTTGTCTTCTCCTGAAATACTTGGCTTTTTCTTCCTAGTCTTTGCAGCAACCAGTTTCTCCTCTGTTCCATCTTTGCAGGCCACAACTTTACTGGTTTACTTTGGGTTCCTTTCTAGCCAAACTCAAAACATTTTAAATCATTCAGCTGGGGGCCAGGGATTTAGCCCAGTGGTTCTGCCGCCTGCCTCGGAAGTGTGAGGTCCCAAGTTTCATCCCGGTATCAAAAAAAAAAAAAATCATTCTGCTGGGCTCTTTGCTCTTGATTCTCAACATAGATCTGGCTAAAAGCCCCCAAGAATACCCATGCCACTGCCTCAACATTAGACTGCCTCGCAATTAGTCTACCACCCTTAATCTCAGTCTCAGGTAAAGTCTCTGGATGTGAGGAAAATGTGACAAACTTTTTGCCAAGCCATAACACATATCATCTGGAGCCCAACAGCCAATGCAACCCTCCTTCCCAGCAGAAACCTCGCAAGCTTGGTCTTTACCAACAGCACTTCTGTTAACCTTCTGGTCTGAGCTCTGACCAGAATCTCCCATCAAGTACAGCCTAACACATTCCAGCTCTACTTTTTCAGCATTTCTGAACCTTTCCGAACTCTTCCCCTTCCCACAAGCCGGTTCCAAAGGCTCTTGAGCCACATGGCCAGGTAATGTCGCAGCAACAACCCCACTTCTCTGGTACCAAATTCTATCTTGATTACTTTTCTCATTGGTGAGACAAAATACCCAACACTCAAAGGGGGAAAGGTTTATTTAGCTCACAGTTTGTAGAGGTTTCAGTTTATAATCGGCTGACTCCAAGGGAGAGCGGTGTGGCAGACAGGCACTGGAGAGGAGAAGTAGTTCATGGGGTGCAAAAGATAGCAAAGCAACAAGGTGACCACGGTCTTTCCCTAATATCTTATCCAGGCTGCTTAGGGCAGGTAGCACTCACACCCTTAATCCTAGTGCCCCTGATCTAGCATTGGATCCTGAATCAATTCCAGCATCACACACTCTAGATCCAGCCACCTCTGAGAAGCCCCACCTGTGATCTGAGGCTTTTGGGGACATCTAGACACAGCCTTGACAGGCTCTACTTTTCCTGTTCTTTCTCCATGGATATACCATCTCAGCAGGACAACTCCTGCCTGGCCTAAGCCCCCTTCCCTCTTTAGCTGAGCTATCAGTGTTTTTCTTCTCGACATACAAGACTCTGCCCCCAAACAAGCATAGTTACTCAACTCATGTTTGTCCTGGAGCCCAGGTGCAGTTTGGCTGGGCAAGTGGATTTTCAGGCTTGGCTGGCCAGAGAAGTTTTCCTATGGGAAGGCCCAGGATCTCTTAGAGGGATGAGTATGGATAAGAGCCTGGTAGGTGTAGGCTGGGAGCCACAGCAAGAAGTAGCTAAGATAAAGCTGGCTAGCAAGTAATTAGAAAAGGCAGGCTGCTGAGGAGTGCTCACTGGGATTTCTTGAAGAGCTTCAAAAACCTGGACTTTGGCTTCTACTATAATTGGTTAGGGTTGGGGTTAGATTAATAGGAATTCCTCCTGGTGTTGGGGCCCGGCCTTAAGGGAAGCCTATGTGTCTGGCCCCCAGGCAGCAGCATGGAGCTGGTCCAGGACACCTCCTGCCCACCTCTGGCTTATGTGAAGGGGGTCCCGCTCATCAAGTACTTTGCGGAGGCCATAGAGCCTCTGCAGAGCTTCCAGGCCTGGCCCGATGACCTGCTCATCAGCACCTACCCCAGGTCCGGTAAGCAGGGAGGCCACCTGCTCCTAGGCTGCAGTCCTTGTTTGGCGAGCAGGACCTGGCCCTCAGCTCTGTTTGCCTCCTCTTTCTCTCTTCCCAGGCACCACCTGGGTGAGTGAGATACTGGACATGATCTACCAGGGCGGTGACCTCGAGAAGTGTTGCCGAGACCCCATCTACCTGCGGGTGCCCTTCCTGGAGTCTGGAGGTCCAGGGACTCCCTCAGGTGTGTGCAGGGCCTAGGGACAAGGGAAGTGGTGGTGGGGGACCCTGCTCCAGCCCAGCGGCTCTCCCTTGCCCATGCCTCAGGGCTTGAGAGTGTGAAAGATGTCCCCACCCCACAGCTGCTCAAGACGCACCTGCCTGTGGCCCTGCTGCCCCGGACTCTGCTGGGTCAGAAGGTGAAGGTGAGGCAGGGCAGGTACCCAGGGTAAGCTCCACTTTGGACCTGTTCTGGTGTGGACTCATCTCAGGGTAGAAGTGACTCGTTTTGCCATGGGGAAGAGCCCAAGTAAGTGAGACTCTTAGTGCAGACCACAGAACAATGGAGTTCAGGTTCTCATTGGCCTAGCAAGAAGGGGGCTGGTGGCATCCCAGAGTTTTTGTTCCAAATCTTAGTGACATTGAAAGTAGTCAGATTAGTAATAAATATGGTTCCAGGGACCAGTCAGGACTTCAGTATCAAAGAAGGCTTAGAGTGCCTGCTCAGCTGTACCCATACCATGACATCTTCAGTGAGTGAGCTTCCACACTGCATTATCTCCTTTGTCAGACAGAGAGATCCGTTCACACAGGGGGCTGTGAAGTATGACCTGAAGGAAGGACAGGGAGCAGCTCTGCTTTGGGGTGCTGTGTGGTGAGGATGCACGGGATTGGGTTTTCTGCCCCTGCAGGTGGTCTATGTTGCTCGCAATGCAAAGGACGTGGCGGTCTCCTATTATTACTTCTGCAAGATGGCCAAGCTGCACCCTGATCCGTGTACCTGGGACAGCTTCCTGGAGAAGTTCATGGACAGCAAAGGTGGGCCTGACTGCAGTGAGGAGGGGCTGAGTGAGGGGCGGTCAGCTAACCTGAGACTGTATTGTTGTCTCTTGTCCCCTTCCCTAGTGTCCTATGGGTCTCGGTACCAGCACGTGCAGGCGTGGTGGGAGCTGAGCTGCACCCACCCTGTTCTCTGCCTCTTCTATGAGGACATGAAGGAGGTAAGACCACCTGCCACTGCTCCCCTCCTTGACCACACGGGACAGGAACCTCATGGTGATCTGCTGGGGCCTTCTCCAACCCAGTCCTCTGGCAGTCCCACAATCCAGGGTTCCTCTCTTCCATCCTGGGTGACCCGAGCCAGCTCAGCAGCAAGACTAAATAGTCCCGATATCCAAGTATCTTTGTCAGCAACCTGAACATGCACTGCTCCGCAGTTTGGGGCTCTTCTCCCTGCCCCAGGACAAGTGCCGAGCTGCGGGCCCTCCCCTCCTCCAGGAGGAACCAAACAGGCTTACTCCAGGATCCCGGGGGGAAGTGACCTGCTCTGCCACGGGGAAGAGCCCAGGGCAGAGCAGGCCGAGGCCTCTCTGTGGAAGTGACACTGCCCCTGTGAAGCCAGAGGGGCCCTGTGTTCCCTTTATGAACAACTTGCAAAATGTGTCTGGTTCTCCAGGACCCCAAAAGGGAGACTGAGAAGATCCTGGAGTTCGTGGGGTGCTCCCTGCCTGCGGAGACCGTGGACCTCATCGTCCAGTATACATCCTTCCAGGAGATGAGGAAGAACCCCATGACTGACTCTACCACCCTAGACCCTGAGCACGTGGACCACACAGTCTCCCCCTTCATGAGGAAAGGTGGGGCCCGGCCAGGGCGGGAGTCTGGGGGAGAGGAGGGAGGAAGCAGCCACCAGAGCCCACCTGGGCCATGTGTGAGTCTGCTGCACTCAGACTCAGGCCTCTCTCCTTCTCTCAGGCATGGTGGGGGACTGGAAAAGCACCTTCACGGTGGCCCAGAATGAACACTTTGATGCCCACTATGCCGAGAAGATGGCGAGCTGCAGCCTCCCCTTCCGCTGGCAGCTCTGAGTGCTGAAATGGGTCTTCCAAGTGCTGACAAGAATCTCCTGTCAAGCTCAGCTTACAGCATTCTAGGGCTTCTCTAGCTGGCATCTCTAAACATTTCCAGACTCCATAACCAGTTCCAAGAGGTTCTGAACTGGACAGCAGGTAGCAGCACACAATGATTCTATTTCTCTGGTACTAAAATCTGTTTCAGTTACTTTCCTGGCCTGGGGACAAAATACCCAGCACTCATAACTTTCAGGACTAGGCATTTATTTTGGCTCACAGTTCACAGGTTTTTTAGTCCACATTTAGCAGGCTAAAACCCAGAAACTGCATGGCAGAAGGTGCTGGGCAGAGGAATGCTTCTCATATCAGGGGGCCAGGAAGCAGAGGAGAGGAGCCAGGAAGATTTACCCTTCCACATCACACCCTCTAGTTACTTGCTAACCATTTCTACCTTCTAAAAGCAAGTTAGTGACAGCGCCCCATGATCAAATCACCTTCCAAACACATGAGGCTTTAGGAGCCTTCTTAGATGTAAACCACAACACAAGGTCCTACCAATCGTAACATACATGGTTAGGACATACAGAAATATCTCTTGACCCAATTTTGTGGCTTAGATCAGCTTTATTTTCCTACATTGATCCTTTCCCTGTCTGCTACCTAAAACTCCCATTCCTGAAAACCCCATGGTCCTCCCAGAGGCATCAGGCCTGCTGCAGTGGGCAGGACAGCATTGGGTAGGGTCACTCACTTGGTAGGAGCAGAGGGGAAAGGGAGTCCTGTGCAGCTCTGGGGAGGGCATAGGCTCAGGAAGCCCTGATGATCAAGACTGGTCTTAGCTGCAAGTGGTGGCACTCACCTGTAATCCTGGCACGCAGGAGGATCACAAGTTCCAGCCCAGCCTGGGTAATTTGCATTTAGGAGATTCTATCTCAAAATAAATTTAAAGGGCTGAGGATGTAGCTCAGTGGCTCTGGTCCTGCCTGGCAAGCGCAAGGTCCCGAGTTCGATCCCTGGTACAGAAAAAAAATAAGTGCTGGGGCTGTAAAGGTGTCCTAGGTTCAATTTCCAATAGGGCAAAAATAAATATGTAAATAAATTAAAAGACTGGGGACTTATGGTGACAAAAAGCTTAAAATTCTGAACACCCCAATTTTTCTGCTGACAGTCCTGCCCAGAAAGTACTGAGTGGTCATAAGGCAACTCCCAAATTCTGACTAAAGCAGCACAGATATAAATAAAGAACTCTCTATTCCTATCAGGTTATGATCCATGTTTCCCCCAAAGTTAGAGAGTACAGGTGTCTTTCTCTGAGTCTGAAGAGCCACTTGTGAAGCCTAAGCAAGAGGCCTGGACAGTTTGTAACTTGGATACACAAGTTCACTTACAAAACAGGCATTCTTGGAAGATTAAGAACAGGATGTCCTGAAAAATGAACTTCTAAGACACATTTGCTAACTCAAGCCCTTTCCCAGATCTTCAGTCATAAAAACCTAATCTCATTGTAACTGAGGTTCCTCAATTGGATACTCTCCAAAAAAAGGCCCAAAAGAAATTGAGGAAGATGAAATTTCGGGGGGAGGGGGTTTAGAGGAGAAGAGCCTGACCTCCCTGTTTGAGCCAGATGGGCTCGGCTAGTGGCTGCTGTGCCCCTCCCCCTGCCCAGTGGGCTGAGACACCGAGCTTCAGTGTCCTCCCTGACCAGATGACCAGCACGCTCCACCCCAGCATGAGTGCAGCCAGACAGGCGGTGTGGTGCCCTCCCTGCTCTTGCCACTTCACACTTTATTGCTGCCTTTGTGGGGAAGGGAGGGGCACCCTGGAGTGGCTAAGATCAGGAAAGGATGGACCTGGGCCCCTTATTTGGGTAACATTCACAGCAAGCTTTCAGTCCTGTCTCTGAAACAGGCCTACAGCTGCTATACAAGCAGTGTCCCCAGTCATTGCTTTGGTTTTAGTCTAGGAGGGCTCCTGTCAAGGCTGAGCCTCCCTGGAGGGCATCCAGAGGGGTTTGCACATTAGTCCATCACGAGTGAGTTAATTCCCCATAAAGAACAGGATGCAGAGCCAATCATCAGCAAAAGGGCAACATCAGAGCAGGAGAGCTGAAGCCAGAGCCCCAGAGCTCAAGAGGTGTGTGCCTTTATTCCTTCAAAAACAGCTACAGTTGGGGCTGGGGGTGTAGCTCACTGGTTCTGCCGTCTGCCTCACAAGTGCAAGGACCTGAGTTCAATCCCCGGTATCAAAAAAACAAAAAACAGCTACAGTGCTACAGTGCTCTTTATCTCACAGCAGTTACAGTGCCTTATAGGGAATGCTGACAAACACCTGCTGTGTGACCTTGGCCATGATGCACATGCATGGTTCAGTATGTTGTCACATATAACTGGCCCTTTACGTGCATGGCCCTGAGGGCAGTCATGTCTTTAGGTGTCCTCAAGTGCACTTAGGTTTCTCAGGCTTTGAGTTTACTCAGAAGTGGTACCCCACTGATCCCTCCTTGAGTACTGACCCTCCTGTGCTGGAGCATGGGCCCTGTTAAAAGACTTGATTTGGTGTTCCTGTAAAAACAAAGCAACTAGGCTTGGGTGTGGTGACGCACACCTGTAACCCCAGCACTTGGGAGGCAGAGGCAGGAGGACTGCTGTGAGTTTGAGGCCAACCTGGGCTACATAGTTGGCGAAGCCCAACCGACTTCCAATGCTGCTTGACAAAGTTTCAGCTGGGGGAAAGAAAGGGTGGAACACATCGTACCCTCATATTTTATTTTTTTTCTTGCCATAATGTTTATAATTGTTCCTCTGGTCACAGGAGTCATTGTGTTTGTGACTAACAACAAACTCTCCATGAGGCTAATTGGCAATGATATATTGAAATTTGATCTGACTCAAAAGTCTCAAATTCCAGTTTCT